ACAAGACAGCGCTTCGCAGGCACACACATTAGGGAAAAACTGAGCATTATAGATCGCATTAGCTAATGACTGAGGGGAGATAACTTACCTGATAGGCTGTTAGGCACATGATCATCACGCTACCTTTTTTACATTTGCCTTTACTCAGACTATTGAAAGAATGATCCAAAAGCAACGGGTGACTAAGAGCCAGTAGGGTCTCGTAAAGTGCATCTTTGAAGGCTATTAGGACACAACTGACAACGCACGAAGCATCAGTGGGACAAGAATATCGTGTCTAACTGCGTCGTATTTATTCGCTACTACTCCTGGGAACAAGGTAATATATGTGAGTTGATTGTTTAAAAAGATGTACCAACAACTGTAATCTCGAATGGGAGCCTAGTCAAGCTAATTCTTCGATGTAAAGTAAACGCCCAATTCGTGAATCATGGCAAATTTTACTGTCAGGCCGATAGCGTGCGATGGGGTCACCTCTTGAATCATCTGCTGGCAGAAATATCGAAAGAAATGCAATTTTATTGGAGTATAAAGCAATTCCACGCACTTACCCAGTACGTTAGTAAAAATTTTGCAAAAGCAGATGAGAGGCATGGCTTAAGTAATCAGTAAGGATGACCTGCACGACCGTTTAAACAAGACACAGCAATAGGAAATGCCTAAAATCCGTATGGCTCTAGCCAAATTCCAGAAAAACTAGGTGTAGGGGTAAGGTGAGGGTTGGATTTGGGTTTTTATATCGGAGTCGGAGGTCAGGATTATGGTAAGGGTTAACATTTGGGTTCTTGTTAACTGTAAAATTTAGGTGTAGGATAGCGTTAGGGTTACATATTAGTTTTATGTTAGGATTAAGACACGGCATTAGTATTCCTCCAGAGATTTATCGCAAGGCTGCTTATTTTAGGTGGACGGGATACTCCCATTCCCGTAAAAGGTGAATCAAGTGCATATAGCGTTAAATGTCACCAAAGAAAAAAAGAAGGTTTAAAGCGTCATTTCTTGTTAGAGAGCCTACTAAATAGAACGCATGTTGGTGTGCTTTGTAAGGTGCATTCCTCAAAGGAAGATAAATGAGGCAGTGTATAAGTACTGGTAGCTTTTACGCTCTATTTCAGAAACAAAATTCGGTAATCTGTCAAACCAATGGAGCAGGGAGAATGTGCTCTGCAGATACCCTAAAGAAGCAGCTCGCTGTTGTGCGAGACGATCTGTGAGAACAAACTCCTCCCTAGAACGTACGCTAAGAGTGGATATGCCGGCAGCTGGA